TACCCTCTCTCCCCCCCCCAGAACCGCCTCCCCCATCTCCAGGCACAGACCCTCTCGACCAGCTCCTCTTGTACCCCAGGCACAGACACACACACCCTGACTGCCTTCTCATCTACGGGCACAGACCCCCCATTCTCAGGCACAGACACTCTTCCGGCCAGCTCCTCTCATCCCCGGGCACAGACACCCGTCCCCGGGCACAGAGCCCACCCGGGCACAGAACCTGCCGCCCAGCTCCTCTTGTCTCCCCGGACGCACACCCTCCTCAGGGTACACACACACACCAACCGCCTCCCCCATCTCCGGGCACAGACCCGCTCGACCAGCTCCACGTCCCCCAGGCACAGACTGCCCCCCAGGTATTGACATTCCCCCGACTGCCCTCCCGTCTCTGGGCACAGACAACCCCATCCCTAGGCACAGACACCTCCCCGGCCAGCTCCTCTTGTACCTGTGGCACAGACCCCCATCTCTGTGCACAGAGCCCCCCTGTGCACAGACCCCTGCCCTGTCCCTGGGTGCAGAACCTGCCACCCAGCTCCTCTCTTCCCCCGGGCACAGACCCTCCCCAGGGTATACACACACACACACACCAAGCACCTCCCCCATCTCCGGGCACAGACCCTCTCGACCAGCTCCACGTCCCTCAGGCACAGACATCTCCATCCCTGGGCACAGACCCCCCTGGCCAACTCCTCTTGTACCCCAGGCACAGACCACTCCCAAGGTACAGTCTCAGACACTCCTCCCCCCCGGACTGCCCTCCTGTCTCCAGGCACAGACCCCCCTCCTCCTCTACCCTTGGCTAGTGCCTCATCCCCCCAGCACTGATCCCTCTCCTGGCCAAATTCTCCACCTCCAGAGATCAGACACACACCCCTGACTGACTTCCCTGCCCCTGGGGCACAGAACCCTCCACCCTGCCTTCCGTTCACCTGTCCGGACAGCCCCACTCTTCTGCCCTCCCAACTGTGTGGCAGGAACCCATACAGACGAATCCCTGTCTCTGTGGGTGGAGACAGATGGTGCTCATTTAGCTGCTGGGAAACATCTCCCACTGCATCGAGCACTACCAATTACATAAGAATGGCCATACTGGGTAAGACCAAAGGTCCATCTAGCCCAGTATCCTGTCTTCCGACAGTGGCCAATGCCAGGTGCTTCAGAGGGAATGAACAGAACAGGTAATCATCAAGTGATCCATCCCCTGTCGCTCATTCCCAGCTTCTGGAAAACAGAGGCTAGGGACACCATCTCTGCCCATCCTGGCTAATAGCCATTGATGGACCAACTTATCCTCCATGAAAGTATCTAGTTCTTTGTTGAACCCTGTTTTAGTTTTGGCCTTCACAACATCCTCTGGCAAAGAGTTCCACAGGTTGACTGCATTGTGTGACGAAATACTCCATCCCATCACACACTCCTGATCTCATCCCAAGGCTACTGTTCCCCTTCCCACTGGGCCCTGTCCACTGTATCCTAGGCCTGCTGCTCCCATCTGATCAGACACTCCCATCTCATCCTACCAGGCTCTTCCCCATTCTATTCCAGTGCTGCTACTCCCCATGCCAACCCATCCCTGATGTTGCCCCTAAGTGTGACCTATGCAAATGATGTTTCTGCTGCTGCTGAATTATGCAAAGTGGCAACCGTGGGTCTAGCTCCTTTCACTGCAGGATTTGCCTTTGAATGTGTATCACAAGCCTCAATGTGTGTCTAAAAGGGGAAGTGCTCTGCTTGTGTCTGCAACAGCAGAGTGAAGTCTGTATTGGGTTATCGGGAAGAGGTTTCTTAGGGACAGCAGATTCTGAAAGAACCACAAATAGGGAGGTCTAGCCCCACCTGTATAACTGTGATAGACCCTGCATCCAGCTACTTCCCTAAGAGTGGTGGGAAGAGGATTAAAAATAAGGGGGACTTTAGAAGACCATCCACCTCATCCCAAAATAAACAGTTAAAAATGAATGGCTAAAATCAGTAAAGTACTGAAGCCAGGCTCCGTGGTTTCCCAGCCTAAGCTGTTGTGTATTATAATGTACTCAGTGTGAGAAGAGACCAGTGCCTGGCACAGAACCCACATTCCTGATCAACAAGCTGTTCTCTCATTAAAGCTCCTAGTTACATAATTCAGTAGGTTGCTGCACTTTCTCCTGACAGAAAGAGCCTTCCTCACACTTACTGACACACAAGATCAAATGGAGGTATCCTAAGTAGGGTAAATCTAATGTCAACATTCATATTTAACATTTGAATATAGCACCCTACATGCATAGGGCATTGTATATTTAACATGTATATCTAAAACCTTAGGTATATATAGTCCTGCATATTTTAAACCTACTTATGTAGCTCTCTTCCTGTGAAGGTGCTTAGGCACAAGCTTAATTTTAAATAGTCCTATTAATGTAATTTTGAGTAGTCCCATTAAACTTAATAGGACTATACATTTAAGCAGGTGGGTAAGTCTTTGCTGGATAGGGACTATGACATTTAGCTAAGGTTACAAAACAGAAATTTTCATGTACTTATTCAACATAAAAGAAAAAGCATCTTTCTCTTTGAGAACATCAGCATTTTACTGTAACATCAAGAATCATCAAAGGACACATAAACATAAGGAAGAAAATGAGCTTTAATTTAAAATAAGAGTCCAGAGTCGGGTCTATCTACATTTTGTATAGTATAAATGACTTGGTGAAAAAGTTTGTTTCTAAATCCTCCAATTTCTAAGAGAATTAAAATGCTCTATTGCTGAGGGATTCTGTGATACTATTAACTATATTGTATGTGTCTATAGCACTTTCCACCTGAGCAGATTACAGTGAATTAAGATTCTCAACCACTGGCAAATAAATAGTAACTAGGGCTGTCGATTAATTGCAGTTAACTCACGTGATTAACTAAAAAAAATTAATTGCAATTAAACAATAGAATACTAATTGAAATGTATTAAATATTTTTGGATGTTTTTCTTCATTTTCAAATATATTGATTTCAATTACAACACAGAATACAAAGTGTACAGTCCTCACTTTATATTATTATTTTTATTACAAATATTTGCACTGTAAAAATTATAAACAAAAGAAATAGTATTTTTCAGTTCACCTCATACAAGTACTGTAGTGCAAT